GGGTTAGCCCTACATAGACAATATTTTTTATTGTCCTGTGTAATATTTTATCGCAATGACAACTTCAACCTTCAATTCATACATGGGAATCGATGGGACAGAAAGTGAGGAAATCTCCAGGATGTGGTCATAGACAGAAATGGTGCCTTTTCCCTACTCCATCCAAATCTAAGATACATTAAGCGCCAGACAAAATAACGTTTTGCAAAAATTATTTAAAAAGAAACTTTAATGTACCTGTTGGTAAATATTACCCTTAATGTCTGAATTTACAACCATAGACTTTAGTTTGCATAGGAGTAGCTCATACGGCACTTTTTTACAAAGCAGTTGTAAAATTTTTAGTTAGCTGTGATCAGCTTTGTTGCAATCTTTAGGCCCCCTTCACACTGTTGTGCTGTGTTGGTGCACTATTATTTACCAAAAAGAGGTGTCACATTCACTATGTTCTGGAGAAGATGAGTGCAGCTGTACTTGCAAAGTACACAGTCTATTTGCCTTTAGTAAATCAACCTCACTGTGCTGCTTGCTGAAAGATTGCAAATCCTTTGTAAAATAATGCTGTATGCACTGCTTTTGTGTAAGCTGAAGCTCATGTGTACAAGTGGCAGGACTTGTAGTTAGCTTGCTCAGTAGACAAAGAACATTTGAATAACATAGCCCCTGCAGGTCATCCGAAGCGGCGGGACTCAGGATGCCATAACTGCTCTATAAAAGACTGTTAGAGTTTATTAATCTTTCTCAGGTAGATCTGTAATGTGGAAAAATATTACATTTATCTTCAAGAAGTACTTGTTTTTCATTTTTTAAATGCATAGTACAACACGATTTCATCTCTTATCCGTCATATATGGATAGGCTCAGCTTGCAAGAGTTGTAGCTGATAACAAATTTAATTGGACTGTTTCAATTGATGTAATAACATTGTAATTTCGCTATGACTGAGTGAGCCGATGGAAATTGAAGAGAATGTTAATTCATTTTATTAATTAGTTTTACTTTCCTAGTTTTGACCTAATTGAACTCTAATATTGCAACAATGGGGCTGCAAGTTCACGTGTACCTCCATAATGGTAAAGTAGGTTAATTGTCACAAGACACACTGTTGTACTGTAATACAAAAATTGTACAAATGTAAAACAGTTTATTTTGGTCAGAGCTAACATAACTGTTCTGTAAATGTTCATGCTTGCAATTATTAAGCCATTTTGGCTCTCCCTTCATTTAATTTTAATCTGTGACCAATACTTAGGTAGGATCTGAACTAGGTTTTATTGAGCAAGTAGGCCCAGCTTCTAGCTTCTTAGTATCAGTGGCCATTTACTCTGCAGAGATGACATGCCCCAGATAATTGAACAATGGTTGACAGAACTAACACTTCTCTAAAGAAGGCCTTATCCCTTCTTTGTGAAGAAGCTACAGTACTTTCTCTAGTAATTCATGCTCTTTGAGCATTCTCCTGAAAACTATCAAGTCATCCAAGTATATCAACACCTAGATCAGATTCATATCCTCTACGGTCCACTCCATCAGCTGCTGTTAAGTAGCAGGGGCTGTGGTCAGACCTTTGCGAACCCTGTTGACCTAGTAAAAACCCAACAGGCAGATGAAGGTTGTTTTCTCTCAATCTGCATAGGAATCTGATGGTACCTGTCCCTCAAGTTCAACACACTGGACCACTTGGCCCCAGACTGTTATTGATAGTTTGATGATTAAGGGTGTACATTCTGATGGAATTTCTTCCACTATGGTGCTTCTTCCAGGACAACCACTATTGGAAAAGCATATAGACTTCTGTACTTTTTGATGATCCCAGTTCTCTCCTGTTTCTCCAGTTGCTAATGTAGGTTTTCCAGGTCTCCTAAAGAAATATGTTGAGATATATCTTTGAACTTTTGTCTTTTTGCAAATGTATTTGATGCTGGATACTTTTTGCATTAAACTGGTTCTTACAGAACAGCTTTCATCTCAGGAGCAGGGCTTGGATCAGGCTTTCCACTAAGGTGAGTGTTTGCTCCACTCAAGTGTTGTTGTTCTACAGGGATCTCATCTTTGCCCCCCCCCCACCACACACACACCAAATATAGATGGTAAAATGGGGGTAGCTGTGTTAATCTTCCCAAGTAGCACTCAAGCCCTAACTTCACAGGGCAGTCAATGGTGTTGCAGACACTGACGGGTACCCTTCCTCTGGCCGTCTGTAATGCTCCTGTCTAAACTACTGTAGGAATTGATTTTATCCCAGAGTCTTTTTTTCCCTATTGAATCAGCTTGAGCATACAAAATCTGGAGCAGATGTGCATAGTAACCAATCTGCTTCCATCTTCAGCCTGTTCAGTTAAAGTGTTACTAAACCCAGGACCCTGCATTCACTATATATGGTCTCCTACAGTACACAGAACATGGAAATGCAATTATTTTAGTAAATATAAACTATAAATATAAAATAAATATAAATATTAATAATAATAATTTAAACTGCTAAATACCTTTTCTCATCAGCAGTTAGAGCATTCTTGTGACTTCAGCATAGCACTGGTTAAAGTTTGGAGTTTTCTTTCTGCTCTAGGAGGATGCAGAACCCCTAACCTCTGTCTGGACAGTGCTGATTGGCTCTGTGCTGATCACATGCACTCTCCCAAGAAAAAAAAAAACCTATCTAGCAATACACACTAAACTGAGCATGTGCACGTGGCTACGGGTTCAGTCTGTTCTATCAAGTGAATATTTGAAGAAGAGGAGGGACAGAAAAGTCAGGATCAAGTGTCCTTTTTCCACAATGCAGCTGATTAACCCCTTAGGTTCCACAGTTAGTATAACAAGCATGCTTTACTGCATATACAGACTGATTTTACTGTTGTGGGTTTAAGTCTTAACACTTTAAGGTTTGAAAATGAAATCTAAAAGCTGATTGGATACCATTCACAGTTGTTCCAGATTTTGACTGCTAAAATCTTAGTAAATTACCTTCGTTGTGCTTTACGTTGTGCTGCTATGTGTTGTAATGCAGCAACAAAATATATTGCCGCGTTTTGTTGTATTGCATGTGTTTTACTGCGCATTACCACAAAGCAATAGGGGCCCATTCACACCTTCCCCTTCTGGTGTGTTGTGTTTTGAATGGACAAAAAAGTAGCATGTGCCTTTTTAGCAACACAGCACACCATGACGCATTTGGCACACCATGGCACATGGCGTGTTGAGCTGCAGCGGATGTGCATTTCCTTTCAAAACAGCACTACAGGCACTAGGGCCTATATGGCGCACTGCGGAAACTGCAACACTTAGGTGTGAATGGGGCCTTAGAGTTATCTGTCCTTCAGGCAAAGAGACAGAAGTTTCTGGCTTGTTTGTTTCAGATTATTGAAGCACACTTTGTCTGTGATTGCTGCTCAGCTGATTACAATTTAAAATGTTCTGGTTTAATCAGCAAAATAATTTACAGCAGAACACTCTTCTCCAGATGAAATGTATGTGCACCCTTCAAATTGTCATTTTTAAGTTTTCCGTTTATCCTGCCAATTGACAAAAACAACTTTTCCTGATGACAACAAGCTCTTGCCATGTTTATGCATTATTTGCTGGATGCATATATTCTGACTAAATCATTCATATTTGAGACAACCTAGTCCAAGGCATTTCTCTTTCTGTGCGGAATTGATATACTTTATATCAGTTTCAGGGAATAAACAAAGGACTGGAATAGAAGCTGTGTTTTTGTTCACAGCAACCAATCCAGTCCTGTCTACCATTCCTCCAGATCTTGGAAAAAATGAAAGAGAAAACATGATTTATTGCCATAAGTAATATGAACAGTTCTAAAGACCTTAAGGGCTCATTTTCCAAGTGCTGCCCTCTGAAGAGAGACTTGTGGTGGATGGGGCATGTGTATACCCCAAAGGGCTGCCTGTGTAGCTTAAAGCGGCGTTCCAGCTGAAAAATAAAATCAAAGTCAGCAGCTACAAAAACTGTAGCTGCTGACGTTTTAAAAATACAGCCTCTCACCTGTCCCTCAGTCCAGCGGTGTCCTCACCACCGCTGGTTTCACTGGCCGTCTTCTCTCCTTGGAGCCGGCATCTTCAGTGTGGACACCCGGCTTTGACAGCTTGCTGCTTCACAGACGGGTGCCCACTGTGCATGCACGACAAGCACTGCGCTTTGTGAATGGCCCCGTAGTCTTCTGAGACTGATCAAGTGTCCCAGAAGACTATGGGGAGGAAGGGAAGGACAACTTCCGCTTCCGATCGCCTAGGCGATCGCAGCGGAAGTGGGAGCAGGTACCTGTCAAATTCAGGTACCTCCTCCCCCCACACTTCCCAAAGGTGCCAATTCTTATTGGGGAGTAGGGGGCAAAGCTTTAAAGCGCAACTTCCCCTTTTGGGTGGAACTCCGCTTTAAAGTGGATTTACACCCCTATATATACCCAATGAAGTGACTATCCTCAGGTGATAAACAAAGGTGAAACAAATCCTCCTACATAAGTTGTCCCTGTCTATCTGCACTCTTCTCTTCTCTACATCCATTCAAAGTCCAGAATTTATATAGCTTGTCTGAGAGTTTAGAAAAAAGGGGTCAGAGAACTGAAATCACACACTGCAGAGCTCAGTGAGGAGAACTCTGAGAGTTGATTGGAGGGAAGAGTCACACCCCCTTCACACAGCACACAGGAACAAAGCTGAGGCTGCCAATCTGCTGGCAGCCCCTCCCCTGTCACCAATTTACTCTTGGTGTCAGGAAAACTTGTCAGAATTGATTAAAGTGTTACTAAACCCACAACAGTAAAATCAGTCTGTATATGCAGTAAAGCATGCTTGTTATACTCACTGTGGAACCTAAGGGGTTAATCCCCTGAATTGTGTATAAAGGCTGTTTGATCCTTTCTTCTCTCTGCCCCTCCTTTTGTTGAAATGACCACCTAATACAGATTGAATTCATAGTCAGATACATATGCTCAATTTGGTGTGTATTGCTAGAGAGGTTTTTGTTTCTTTAAAGAGTACATGTGATCAGCACAGGGCCAATCAGCACTGCCCAGACAGAGGGTCAGGGGGTTTCACATCCTCCTAGAGCAGAAAGAAAACTCCTCCTATAAGCTTCAACCAGTGCTCTGCTGAAGTCACAAGACTGCTCTAACTGCTAAACGTTATTTAGCAGTTTATATTTACTAAACTAATTGCATTTCCATGTTATGTGTACTGTGGGAGACCAGATATAGTGAATGCAGGGTCCTGGGTTCAGTATCACTTTAATTCTGAGAGCAGAAGAACAAAGAAGCAGACAGAAATTATATTTAGTGCTCCGAATTGAGACATATACACACTATAGAGAGATATGCTTTTGTTCATATTTTATGTCTGAGGTTTACAACCACTTTAAGGGAAGTGGTCGCTGTGGTAAAAACGTGGCTGAACTGTATTTTATTACTGCACCCCCAAACACAAATATAAATTAGCTCTTAAGGACTAATTATTTAGCTCCAGGAATACTTGCCTGGAATCTATTGCTGAGTATGTCCCAGGAATGGAGCTTTGTTAAATCAGAATTAGGGACTAGGGATAGGCTCAGCTGTGGTCAGATCCTATCTGAACCCACCTGAGCAACCCCACCATGCTGTCACTGTACTTTGCCAATCAAGCAAGGGGCATGGCTATATGCAACTACAGGGTTCGGAATGGGCGGGGGATTCCTCAACCCTTTATGATTGACCAAGTACTGTGACACCTTCATGGTGGCATTTCTTAGGTGGGTTCAGATTTGTATCCGAACATGCCTGAGCTCATCCTTTTTAGGGGCCACACTTTACAGAGGGGCTTTGCTGAGTCAGTGTGACTTCTACATAGATTAGATTTACAACCTTAATGCATCTGTTTTCAATACATAGTTTTTAAGTAGTGTTAAAACCTGACAAAAGCTGAAAAAAAAACTGTAGGCTTTAGGTACAATTTCAGTAACTTCAACTTAATTTTAGCTAAATGCGTGAGTGAGGAGTAGCAGTTTTGTCTTTATTCCTAATTTTTTTTTAAAAGATAACTCAAGTACTTTTATGACTTTTGCTATTCTAATTACCAGGAGGTTGCACATAAGATCCCACTATTCACACATAACTTTCTGTTTGTCCACAAAGGCCTGGTCCCCAACAGCACAGGGCTGGGGCTTTGAGAGGTAGAAGGTCATCTTTAAGGCCCTCTCTCAAATCACCTACCTGGTATTGAGGGCCAGACAAGCAAGTCTCAGTATTGTTAAAAGAAAAAAACCCTGAGTCTCATAGCTTTCTAGCCATAGGTTAAGTAGTCTATGCTGTTGGGGTGATATAGACTGGGCCAAGAGAACCAAACAAAAACACTGAAAAGGTTAAGCACGGTAATCTGAGCCTAATCACTTGGTTTGAAAACCTATAACTATTCTTTTTTAATTTTCTATCTGTGTCCCATTTTATTTTGTTGTCTTTTCTGGTGTCTCAGATAAGCCATTGAGTACATTTGATGTTTAGGTATAGTACAGATAGCTGCTCCTAAGACCTCTCTGTACTGTCTACTGCCAGGATAAATAAATTCTGCTGGGGTAGGTGGTGAGGTAAAAGTTCTGCAGGAATGAAAATACTGTCTCATTTCAGCGAGGCTGTCCATCATAGTAATTGGCCAACAGGAATGTGTGAAGGTGGGGCCTAGTGGAAAATGCCAATACTCTCTGGCTATGGAAGAGCTTTGCCTGTCAGGAAGGCTCAAGATTAGGCCATGATAGAAGAGTTTAGAAGGCATTCAGTTCTGTACACATCTAGGTGACTACACATATTACCTGCATCAGTTTCCTCCTTTTCAGCTCCTGAGAGGGCTTTTTTAACTCTTCATTTAGGAACAGAAAATTATTATAAATATACAGGATCCATATACTGCCAACAGTGTGCGCAGCACTTTAAAAAATGAAGTGAAACAGTACAATCACAATACTATTCAATTATAAGAGAAATCAGAGGGCCCTACTTAGAGCTTACAACTAGAGATGCGCATAAACGTTACTCAGGGACACAGAATCGATTACTCAGGGGACACAGAATCGTTACTCAGGGGACACAGAAATCGTTACTCAGGGCCACAGACTAGCAAAGAATCGAAGAAATTTAGAAGTGACAATACACCCTTTTTTTTTTTGGATGGCTTGTCGGCACAGTTGGTATGGCTGCAGTTTGCCGGATAGTGGCAAAATAAACTGACTGTTTGGCTTCACAAACCACTATTGTACGTTCAAAGAGTTCAAATCCATTTACACGCCGGGCTGGTCGTTAATATTTTTTGGTGATTAGTGCATTCCCGTGACACAAAACGTAACAGTATTTCCAGCCAACGGCAAGCTTGCAATTGACCGATGGTTTGTGTCCAATAAACTGAGCCTTTTTGCATCACAACCACTATGTGTTACGTTCAAAGAAGTTAAATCCCATTTACACGGCCGGAGTTGGCGGTAATATTTTTATTTGGGTGATTAGTGCATTCCAGTGACACAAACGTACAGTATTCCAGCCAACGGCAAGCTGCACATTGACCGATTGAGCTACAATAAACTGGACTATTCTGCTTTCACAACCACTATTGTAATTCCAAAGAGTATAGATCCAGTTTACACCGCACGTGCTGGCGCGTAATATTTATTTTTAGGGTGATCTAGTGCAGTCCAGGTGACATATAACGTCCAGTTCTCCCAGCCAACGGCAAGCTGCAATTGACCGATTGTGCTACAATAAGACTGACTTTCTGCTTCACCCACTAATTACGTTCAAAGAGTTAGATCCATTACACGCCGGTGGCGGTTTTTTTTTGGGGGATTTGTGCATTCCAGTGACAT